CAATCGCTTTCTCCTTCTACTTCTTTTTAGCCTCATCGCAATCTCATTTCAACTCCTTCTTTTTCTCTTCCTCGTGTATTTGTCCTCACTTCAGGCTTTTCTTCTTCTTCTTCTACTACTAATACTACTGCTACTGCTACTACTACTACTACTACCTGTTTTTTTTATATTTTTCGCCTTCATTCATTGTTTAATCGTTCTGTGTCCTGTGTATTATCATCATATCTTTCACCTGTTTCAATTGCTTCTTCTTCATCTTCTTCTTCACATTATTATTTTATCATTATTATTGTTGTTGTTATTATTATTATTATTATTATTATTATTACCGGTGGTTATATCACAATCTCTTTCAGCTTTTCTTTCAGGTTCTTAGCACTGACGTATCTCAATTACCTCCATTTTTTTCTTTTCTTTTTCTTCTTCTTTCTTTCTTTTCTTCTTTCGTTCTTCTTCTGTCTTTCTTCCTCTTTCTTTTTAGCTTTCTTTTTTTTTTTGCATTTATTCGTTCTATTTAATTCATTCTTTTATTATTATGTCTTTCACCTGTTCCTATTGTTTCTTCTTTTTCTTTCTTTTTTTCCTTCTTTCTTTGTTTCATTCTTCATCTTTGTACACACTCTTCTTTCCTTCTTTCTTTCTTTTTTTCTTTCTTTTTTTCCGTTCTCATCTTCTTGAATTTGTTCCCAACTTTTTTTTTTTTCTTTGCTCGTCCTTTTCATATTATCTATCTTCTCACCTTCATCTTCTGGTATTTGACCACACCCTTCTTTCTTGATTTTCTTCTGTCTTAACTTCTTCTTCTTTTTCTTCTTCTTCTGTACATTGTGCGTACTTTCCCTCCCTTCTTTATTTTTTCTTTTTTTTTCTTTTTCTCTTTTTCTTTCTTGCTTTCTTTTGCTTCTTGTTTTTTTTTCCTATTCTCTCTCTCTCTCTATTTATTTATATTCTTGGCCTTCTTCATACTCTTCTTCTTTTGTCACTTTTATTCTTTCTGTCTATCTTTCTTCCTTTCTATCTTTCTATATTTCTTTCTATCTTTCTTTCTTTCTCATTTTGGATTTGTTCCCGACTTTTTTTTATTCTTTTTTTTTACTCACCCAGTTCACATCATACTTTTTTATTTCTTCAGTTTCTTTCTTTCTTTCTTTCTTTCTTTCTTTCTTTCTTTCGTTTCTTTTTGTTCTTTTTATTCTTATATACTCAAATTATCATTCTATTACATCTGCCAGGACATCAATTGCTTCTTTCTATCGTTTCAATTCTTCTTCTTCTTCTTCTTCTTCTTCTTCTTCTTCTTCTTCTTCTTCTTCTTCTTCAATTTCTTCTCTTTCTATTTCTTCTTCTTCTTCTTCTTTCTTTTTCTTCTTCTTCTTTCTTTTTCTTTTCTTCTTCATCTTCTCTTTCTATTTCTTCCTTTTCTTCTTCTTCTTTTTTCTTCTTCTTCTTCTATTTCTTTTTCTTTTTCTTCTTCTTCATCTTCTCTTTCTATTTCTTCTTCTTTTTCTTCTTCTTCTTTCTTTTTCTTATTCTTCTTTATTTTTATTTTTCTTCTCCTTCATATTCTCTTTCTATTTCTTCTTTTTCTTCTTCTTCTTTTTTCTTCTTCTTCTTCTTCTTCTTCTTCTATTTCTTCTTCTTCTTTTTCTTCTTCTTTTTTTCTTCTTCTATTTATTCTTCTTCATCTTCTCTTTCTATTTCTTCTTTTTTTTCTTCTTCTTCTTCCGTTTTTTCTTCTAATTCTTCTTCTTTTTCTTCTTCTTCATCTTCTCTTTCTATTTATTCTTCTTCTTCTTCTTCTTCCGTTTCTTCTTCTTCTTCTATTTCTTCTTTTCTTTTTCTTCTTCTTCATCTTCTCTTTCTATTTCTTCTTCTTCTTTTTCTTCTACTTCTTCATTTCCTTCTTCTAGTTCTGCTTTTTTCTCCTATTTTCTTCTATTTTCTTCTTCTATTTTCTTCTATTTCTTCTTCTTCGTCTACTTCATCTTCAAATATTTCTTCTTTTTCTTTCTTCTTCTCATTCTTCTTCTTCTTCTTTTTTCTTCTTCTTCTTCTTCTTCTTCACAATCTTCCCGCTTCTCGCCCATACCTTTTCATACGTCGCCATCTTTCTCTGACTGTCTCTCTTAAATTCACCCTGGCCACCAAATCGTTCGCAGCCGCACTTCACCATTTCTTCCTTGCCAACCATCGCTACATTTGTATCTTTCACCTAATTTTCTCAGAATCCTCCCACAGAAACCGAAAACCCGAAACCAATCACCAACACTCTGCCTCACCCTTAGACGTCCCGCCTTTTTCCCTTCACCCTTCTAAATTTGATTGCAACCACACGCCAACCTCCAACCACGGCAGCAGAAGTAGCAAGCTCATCCCACCTAAGTGCATGTGGACACAACTCATTCAGAACAATGTATATCCATTAATTTCGATAGTCTGTGGAACAACGGAAAGGGTTCCTCTGCGTTAATGATATCGTCATTTCAGGCTGACTGGCGCCAAAGGGGATTAATTAAACAACGCCGGCCATCTTCCATCTTCTCTGGTGCGTCCGATCTTCTTGTTTTGGCGGGAAGTGAATGGGAATCTGTCTTATAAGAAAACACTCGACCTAAAGAAAATGCATTTCTTATTTGAGCTTGTTCATCTTTCCTCTTCGTCGTATTTGTCGATGCTATCAATACTTCAGCCTCTGAACTCTCGCCCTGTCCATGCGCAAACAATATATTTATCTGCAATATAAATGCTCCCAAAAATTTCACTTAAGAGATTTCATTCATAAGGCTAAGACTTCTTCCAAATGAGTAGACTTCGATACAGGCCTGTACGGTTAAATCACACACACACACACACACACACACACACACACACACACATATATATATATATATATATATATATATATATATATATTTTAAGTATTACGCCCCAAGCAAGGCGTGAAGCCACTAGGATGCAGGGGGTTGCGGAAGATTTGTAGCGAGAGCAGATAGGAGTGATAGAAAAAAGGATGAGGAGAAGGATGGTGGGTAGATCAAGGTAACTGGAGATGTCGATTGACATTACATTTGAATAGTTGGAGATCATAGCCTTCAGGGAAGCAGTAACTGGGGAGGGTGTTCCACTGGCGAGAGGTGCGAGGTATGAAGCTATTGGAGTAGAAGAGACGGCTACATTTGATAGTTTCTACGGTGTAAGGTGGGGAGCGGGATGCCAGCCTCGTAGGGCGCTTAATTCATGGAGTCTGGGAACCAGTGAAAGTAGCTCGTCAGAGCAGTTACCATGGAAGTATTTGTAGAAAAAACACAGAGAGGCGAGCGCGTCTGTGAGAGAGTGACTGCAGACGAGACGCTAGATCAGGGCCAATTAGATTACATATCCGTCTCTGGATCTTATCAAGACCTCCGAGGTAAGCAGAAGGTGCCCCAGCCCATATATGGCAGCAATACTCCATGCAAGGGCGGATGGTTGTTTTGTATGAAAACTTATCATAGCTGACACACACACGCGCACACACACACACACACACACACACATATATATATATATATATATATATATATATATATATGGAGGTGCGTTTAAAGATTTCAGATAGAGTATATCTGTAAAAGGACGATATGAATAACGACAAAATGAAAACTTACCTTGTACTGTCCAGATACTACACTCTGATCCAAAATATAGTACTCATATACTACACTCTGATCAGAGGCATTGTACACAGACACTACACTTCGGTCATAGGCATAGTACACAGATACTACACTCATATCCTAATTGTAGTATATAAATTCTACACTCTAGTACGAGAATTGTACACAGATACTACACTCTGGTTCTAAGTATAGTACACAGATACTACATTCGGATCCTAATTACCGTATATAAATTCTATACTTTGATCCTATGTATTGTACACAGATACTACACTCTAGTCCAAGGTCTAGTACACAAATAATACACTCTCATCCTAATTACACTCTGATCCTAGATATAGTACAGAGATCATAGACAAAGTAAGCAGTTTCTAAACTCTGATCTTAAGCAGAGTACGCAGAATACACAGATACCTCACTCCTAGGTATAGTACACAGGTACTACACTATCCTAGATATAGGACATAGACATACGTGTAGTACACACAGATACTACACTCTGATCCTAGGTATAGTCACAGATACTACACTCTGATTTTAGATGAAGTACACAGATACTACATTCTGATTCTAGGTATAGTACTCAGATACTACACCCTGATCCTGTGTACAGTACACAGATACTACACTCAGATCCTAATTATAGTAGATTAATCTATACTTTCATCCTAGGTATTGTATACAGACACTACACTCTGGTCCTAGGTCGAGTAAACAGATGCTATACTCTGATCCTAATTATGGTACACGGATACTACACTCTGATCGTAGGTATAGTACACAGATACTACACTCAGATCCTAATTATAGTAGATTAATCTATACTTTCATCCTAGGTATTGTATACAGACACTACTCTCTGGTCCTAGGTCGAGTAAACAGATGCTACACTCTGATCCTAATTATGGTACACGGATATTACACTCTGATCGTAGGTATAGTACACAGATACTACACTCAGATCGTAATTATAGTAGATTAATCTATACTTTCATCCTAGGTATTGTATACAGACACTACACTCTGGTCCTAGGTCGAGTAAACAGATGCTACACTCTGATCCTAATTATGGTACACGGATATTACACTCTGATCGTAGGTATAGCACACAGATACTACACTCAGATCCTAATTATAGTAGATTAATCTATACTTTCATCCTAGGTATTGTATACAGACACTACACTCTGGTCCTAGGTCGAGTAAACAGATGCTACACTCTGATCCTAATTTTGGTACAGCGATACTACACTCTGATCGTAGGTATAGTACACCGATACTACACTCATATCCTAGGTATAGTACACCGATACTACACTGATCCCATGTAGACTTGCTCGTTATTTTGACAAGTACTATACGTGTGTACTTTAATGTTTAAGTAGTTTAAGTAACTGGAATGAAAACTTTTTCCCGTATATGTCGAATCGCCAATTGCAAAACAGACCAATCTGAAAAATAAACGGGAAAAGTTTGAACGCTTGTTCACAGCTCAGTTTCCTCAGGCAATCCTTTCAAATTTATTGTCTTATTGTTTGAATGCTATGACATTAACGTTCTTCTCGCAAATGAACGTTGATTTTTCACTTTTACACGAAAGGTCAGAGTTGAATTTGTTCCAGACGCCAGCCTTGAAGCCACAAATAATGAACCACTTCTTCTCTTCGACCGATAATCTAAGAACAAAAGAAATACATTGTTCTTTTGTCGCCAGCTTGCGAGTTGAACCAAATGTAGACGTTCTCTCCCAATTGTCTTTTAAGGTAGCTTTGTAGCCAGTGCTGTGGAAACGACAATATGAAACTGCAGTTCAATACCAAGTACTATTTCAGGTAAGAGTTTTGGTAATATTACAAATGAAATGTCACATTTTCGAATAATACTAGTTAGGTACTAGTTAAGTACTAGTTAAGTATTAGTCGATGAACAAACTTTAAATCGAAATTCTGTGTCCAATTAATTTTTCATATTTATTCTTGTCTTCTTAACTCCTGTTCTTTTATTGTTCTCTCTCCTTAATAATGTTTTTGTTTTTCATAAATTCTTCCATGCTCAGTACCCCCACTTGCGTCTTAGTGGCTTTATTGCCTTGCTTGTTGTGAAATGATTAAAAAAAGAAAATTTAGTTTTGTGAGGAAATTAGCTATGTTTCATGATCCTATTAATTTATTTTAAAGCCAAATATGGATTCTGAAAAGAAATATTACAGTAATGCCGATCGTTAACTTCTGCCTCATAAATACCCGTTCTTTTATTGTCCTCTCTCGTTAATAATGTTTTCTTTTTCTCATAGATGTCAGACTTGCGTCTTAGTAGCTTCATTGCCTTGTTTCTCGTGAAATAATTTTAAAAAATTAGAAAATACATCCTTGTGCAAATTAATTAAGACAACTGCGTTACTTTCCTTTCTTTCACCATTCGATCAGTTTTCGACCCACTGGAGTGACAGGGTGTAATCAATTTCTATTTTTTCCTCAGATTAGGTCATTTGTAGTGGTGTGCAGTAATATGAATCTGTTTCCGGGGTGTATGATGAGATTTTTTTGGCCTTGAAAAATATTGCGTCATCCGTGATTGCATCAGATTTTTATCACGCCCAGACACTATTGTCTCGACTGTCGATTAGTTTTCCTACGGCAATTGCCTGCGATGGACGTTACTCCAAGGAAGCATACGAAAATTGTAACGCTACACGAACACCCTGGCAAGCCTTACCAGGGAGCAAATCAAAATACTATAGATTGGCCTGGAAACTTTCCTGAGTTAAGTTCAATGACGAATCCGCGGTCAATCTGCAAGGAATGATTTCGTGGAATGGACATACGAAGTACTTACATGTGCACTGGGTCATGTTTCATTGGAAAATCGTTTTGGTTCAATTAATTTGCAAGGGTTTACAATCAGTTTAAATACAGAAGTAATCATAAAAACGACTTCAAAGAATCGCACATTTCAAAAATGCTAGATTCCTGTCAACCAAGGGGTGTTGTCAGACAGAAGGGAAAATTAAACGCGAGAACACAGATATTAAAAAGAATATGTTTTAATAATAATGCTATTTAATAACTAACAATATCCAAAGTCCAATAAAATCTTACATTTATCTGATTTTTAAGGGTTTAAAAAAACAAGTTTGTATTCTCATATTCTTGTTTTCAAATTGATGATTTTAGTGCTCAGCTCAGGGTAGGGATTGTCCATAATGATTAAGAGGAGAAACGTATTATTCCAATATCTTATTTCAAGTCTACACAAACTGTGTGTGTGTATTTGTGTGTGTTTGTGTACTTGTGAATACATAAAAAAAATGTAACAAGCACATGTGAATCACTAATGCAAAATGCAGACCTAATCATAGACATGATACACGCGGGAAAAGGTCACAAACAGATGCGAATCACTCATGCAAGACACAGACCTAATGTCATGCATGACATACACGCGGGAAAAGGTCACGACCACGTGTGAATCACTCATGCAAAACACAGACCTAATCTCATACATGACATACACGCGGGAAAAGGTCACAAGCACATGTGAATCACTCATGCAAAACCCAGACCTAGTCACATACATGACATACACGCGGGAAAAGGTTACAACCACATGTGAATCACTCATGCAAAACTCAGACCTAATCTCATTCATGACATACACGCGGGAAAACGTAACAAGCACATGAGAATCACTCATGCAAAACACAGACCTAGTCTCATACATGACATACACGCGGTAAAACGACACAAGCACATTGTGAATCACTCATACAAATGATATACACGCGGGAAAACGACACAAGCACATTGTGAATCACTCATACAAATGATATACACGCGGGAAAAGGTCACAAGCACATGTGAATCACTCATGCAAAACACAGACCAAGACTGATACATGATATACACGCGGGAAAACGTCACAGGCACACGTGAATCACTTATGCAAAACACAGACCTAGTCTCAAACATGATATTCACGTGGGAAAATGTCACAATCACATGTGAATCACTCATGCAAGACACAGACCTAGTCTCTTACATGACATACACGCGGGAAAAGGTCACAAGGACATGTGAATCACTCATGCAAACACAGACCTAGTCTCATACATGACATACACGCGGTAAAACGACACAAGCACATTGTGAATCACTCATACAAATGATATACACGCGGCAAAAGGTCACAAGCACATGTGAATCACTCATGCAAAACACAGACCAAGACTGATATATGATATACACGCGGGAAAACGTCACAGGCATATGTGAATCACTTATGCAAAACTCAGACCTAGTCTCAAACATGATATTCACGTGGGAAAAAGTCACAATCACATGTGAATCACTCATGCAAAACACAGACCTAATCTTATAAATGACATACACGCGGGAAAAGGACACAAGCACATGTGAATCACTGATACAAATTACAGACCATGTCTCATACATGACATACACGTGGAAATAGGTCACAAGTATATGTGAATCAGTCATACAAAACACAGACCTAGTCTCATACATGACATACTCGCGGGAAAAGGTCACAAGCACATGTGAATCACTCATGCAAACAACAGACCTAATCTCATACATGACATACACGCGGGAAAACGTCACAAGCACATGTGAATCAATCATGCAAAACGCAGACCTAATCTCGTACATGATATACACGCGGGAACAGGTGACAAGCACATGTGAATCCTTCATACAAAACCCAGACCTAGTCTCATACATGACATACACGCGGGAAAAGGTCACAAGCACATGTTAATCATTCATGCAAAACACAGACCTAATCTCATACATGACATACTCGCGGGAAAATCATAGGAAAACAGTTTGGGAACGACAGAGAAATAATTCTTTTTAATAATATAGATTGGTTGATGTTAAAATATTTTATCATCATACTTTTTCATATTAGTTCACAGTAATATTTATTTAACCAACAATCTACGGGGATGCGTCAAAAATTATCCGTTCTTTCTCATATATATATATAAGTGATTTTAAGTTCAGAGGTGAAGAGCTCTTCCCCAAAATGTTTTTTCAGTCTTGTACTTAATGATGATAGGTCACTGATGTGGATTCTCATTTTGGGAATACAAGTTTGCTCTTTGTTAGATTAATGCGTAAGAGTCTTTCAAAGTACTCTCTATCTCCCTCTTATTTTGATTAGATATTAACAGACTGAGATAGATAGATAGATAATGAACAGACTGAGATAGATAGATAGATAATGAACAGACTGAGATAGATAGATAGATAGATAGATAGATAGATAGATAGATCATGAACAGACTGAGATGGATATAAACATAGATAGAGATGAAACAGTTAATAATGATAGATAGCTGTAATACTGATAGACAGAAGTAGACAGATATGAACAGACTAAGATAGATATAAACTTTGCTAGCAGAGCCTTCATGAGCAGAAGGCAATATGATAAACCTGCAGACATGTTATGGCGAAAGGGCGGATAATTTTCTACTCAATCATATATATATATATATATATATATAGTGGACTCTCCCGTCGTATTCGACGTATGAGGGTCAAGCAGCTCAGTTCCTAGGAACTGACAGCCAGACACCAGAACATATGATTTGATTATAATGGTGAAGGCTTTGTGCAGAACCAACCACACTTTTTCGAAGGGCCGAATACAGAGACCTGGTATACTACATGCCACAAGGTCCCCAAACGACCCTACGCATGCTTTTTGAATTTAGAGTTGTCCTTCTCCTAGACCAGTTGCCGTCCAAGGAAATATAACCCAGTCTGTTCTGCTTTTTACCCATCACTGGACGGAGAAGATGATTAATACCTTTCCCAAGGGCATTAGCACGTAAGTGAATGCAATGGATTCGACTGGAATTCGAACTCGGCTCTCCGATTCCTTAATCCGTACCGCTATCCACTATTCCATATTAGGTGAAAAGGGTTAAATCCAACAAATATTTTAATATATTTTCTGTTTGTATGTTATTTTTTTATGGATACAACTTATTTCAGTAAATGCTCTGCCTTAATTAAACAGAATTAATTACATCTAACGGTAATTTAAAATTGGTTGGACAAGCGTGAAGCCCGAAGAAGGAGAAGGACGCCTGTCAACCTCCATCACTGACTACGAGATTCAGAAAACTCGAGAGATGGTAATGACGAACTGGAAAGTTATCATCCATGAGGTAGCATGTTCTCTGCTCTTTGTTACTCCTTGGTGCACACTACTAGCGGAGCGGCCATGTTTACACTGTAACAGCAGCAAGAACACTGGTGCGATCGTGATCAAACTTTGATCACGTGAATCATAATAGTACTAACTATAAGCACACATGAGCAGAAGGCGGTGTGATGAAACTGAAAATATATTATGGCGAACGTGCAGATAATTTTTGACTTACATTCGTAGATAAATGCCATAGTGAGAGATAAATACATTCTGCAGTAGATAGATACTTATAAACAAACTACGATAGATAGATCATGAAGTCCATTGCCTAAGGAGAGTAAAAGCTTTGATTTTCTTCAACCATACCTGTGCATATTAATTCAATGATTGGATATTATAGAGAAAATGTCGCTAGAAAATTTAGTTAACTAGAATTTCTTTGCAATCCACTAACAAATGTTGAAACCCTCATGGTATTTAGTATTTTTGAAGTTATCGCAGACATTTTTTGTTGAGATTTACAAATTGTACGTTTTGTTCAAATTTACAAACCAAAATAGATATGGACAAACTGAAATAGCGGGATATGAACATACTAGATAGATAGATAGATAGATAGATAGATAGATAGATAGATAGATGTGAACAGACTAAGTGTTATACCTGAACGTACCTATTCTATTATTAATAGACTCTCCCACACGTAATAAGTAGTAGTAATAGTAGCGGTCGCCAGTTGAGCTCAGTGGAGTTGAGCGAGTCAGTCGATGTCGGACATTGAAGTATCAACCATCACAGATAGATTGCTGCGTCATTAACTCTTATTTCAAGTTCCTAACGTTTTTGTACGTCGGACCCTTTTAGGACCGACTTATTGAAATACATGCCTCCACTGTGAAAACTACTCTACAACACTAAGATAGATTGATATGACCAGACTAAGATAGATAGATTGATATGAACATACTAAGATGGATTGATATGAATATACTAAGATAAATATATTGATATGAAAAGACTAAGACATATAGATATGAACAGACTATGATAGATTGAGATGAAATGACTAAGATATGGTTAAATTGTGATAGAGATGAATTAAGATAGATATGGAAAAACTGAAATAGTTAGATATGAATATGATGAGATAGATATGAACAGATTGAGATATATATATGGATAGGTAGATATGAGCAGTCTGATTGAGAGATATGAACAGCCTGACATAGATGGCTATGAAAAACTGAGAGGTAATATTAATAATAATAGATACGAGAGAGTGAGTCAAAAATTATCCCTACTTTCTCCATAACATATCTTTAAATCTATCACACTGCCTTCTGCTCATGCTTGCTTAAAGCTGGTACCATTGTGGTCACGTGATCGAAGATTGAGCTTGATCTCGCCAGTTTTTTTAGTGTTGTTACAATGTGAACATGGCCGCTTCGGTAGCAGTGCGCACCAAGGAGGAACAAAAAGCAGCGATCCTGTTTCTTATTTCTTAACACAATACAGCGACAGTGCACTACCGTGTAGAAGTGTATACGAGTGGATCGAGAAGTTTAAAAGTGGCCGGACAAGCGTTGACGCGCCGAAAAGAAGCAGGACGTTCGTCAACCTTCACCACTGACGAGAAGATTCAGTAAACTCGAGAGATGATAATGGCGACCGGGCTAGTTATCATCGACGGGGTAAGCATGCAGATTCGGATCACTACTTTTTGTTCCTCCCTAGTGCACACTGCTAGCAGCGCGCCCAAGAGAACTGGTGTGCTTCTTTCATTGTTGGCAAGCAGACAGTTACTGTGCAACTTTCCAGTGAGCAACTGGCGTAACTGAATAACAAAAGAGTGTTTCTCAACCAGTGTTCTCCAGAACCTTAGGGTTCTGCAAGAGGTCATTAGGGGTTCCGTAAGAAACAGTGGGCTAATATGCTAATGCATTTTTGAGTAATTTTTTTTTCATTTTATATTCGTAGTTTTACTATACACGTTATTGGAAAATCTTTGATTATTATTAAAAAAAAAGCTTCGATCCCTGATATTATTTAAAATTATAATCATCATACGGAATGTATTTGGCAATTTTTTCTGATCAAAAGTATCAAAAATGTTGTGGTATTCTCCCTCTAAGAACATTAGACTCTTCCGCCTACTATAAGTTTAGTAGGAGAGAAGGAACAGAGGACATTGAACAGTGAATGGATGGAGCGCTGGTTCATACGATACAGACTCACTAGTCGTGCCATACTCTTCTAGTGTACTTGCTGTTTAATATACGATATATCTGCAAACCTAGTTTTTGTTCTTACTTAAACATTCACAATAAAAAGCATTGGCAGGCATAGTCTCTTTCTAGTTTAAAATAAAATCTGTGTATGTTTATTTTAAGGCTCGGCCTCGAAGTAAGTATTTGTGTAGCAAAACACAGGTTTTACATTAGATGCGCAAAACGGCTTCGAAAATAATACTTCCTTGCCTCTGTAGAATAACAATAATAAACAGCACTTACCGGCGTGAGAGTCCCAGCTAGCGTCCAGCTGGCAGACAAAAATATTTATACAGAAATACCTCCACTCATGTACCAGCAGCCAATCCCAGCCCAAGCAATGGACTATCCCACTTTAGCACAATGAGATGCTTCATGGCACCATAAATAGCTCTCTTAAGGTTGAGTTATTATTGACTCAGCTTGCTCTACAACTGAGTGTTTATCTTGACCACGTGATCGTTCGACAGCCTCATATATTTGTTAATAAGACATCGTATCTTGGTTTATTTGTTTGTTATGTTTTACGGCATATCAACCACAATGGGTTATTTAATGCTGACAAAATTTCCTTTTTTTTTTCAAAAATGTATAGTTTGGTTTGTTTTGATTTGTGGCATATTAACCTCAATGGGTTCTTTAATGCCGACAAGATTTTTATTTCTAGTAATATTTTCTTTTTTTCTAATATTTATTACCGATACTGATTTTTTTACAAAGTATTTCTGGCATTAAAATCTATTTTTACACTTTCATAGTGTTTTGATTAAGGTTTGTTCGGTCAACTATTTGCCCATAGCTGGGACCCTAACAGGTGTTATCACCCCGGGTCAGGGTGGACCTGGGAATACCAGCAATTAAGATGTGGTTCCACGCTCCTCAAAACATCTTGATCAGAGGCCTTGTTGGACGTAGTTTATCGTCTTACCCAGGACGGACATTGTAACTCGGTTTATCTCATATGCCTTTTCAATATTGTCAATAAACGAGAAGAATAGATATCAGTGTTCGTTCTGTTTATTTGTATTATACGTACGAGATATTGATTATTTATATTTATTGTTGTGTGCAAGATTACAGATTTGTTTTTGTGAATAAAAACCTCGATCTACTAAACCGGCAATATATTCGTTTTTGTATTGCCAATAAACGAAAAAGATGGTCATCGATTAAAAAAATATATAAGTGATAGATTATAATATTTATCCATAGGTTCCTTGATAAGACTTTTTAAAGCATTTCACCCCAAGGAAGGCGGGAATGCGACTCGTACGTAGTAGTGTTACAGGGAGAGAAAGTGAGAAAAAAGACTGAGTATAGCGAGGATTTAGGAAAGGAGAAAAGAAGATTCAAGAAGACAGATGATGTCGATTGACGTTAGATTTAAATTTTTAAAGATTATAGTTATCAGGGAAACAATTAAACGGAAGAGAGTTCGATAAGCGGGAAGTGGGTGAAAAGAAACTATTTGAGAAGAAGCGGCGGTTGCATTTAGCTATATCAACCGTAAAAGAGTGGGACCTAAATGCCAATCTAGTAGCACGCTTAAATTCATGTAGTCCGGACATCAGGGAGAAAAAAAAAGAATCTCGTCACAGCAGTTGCCATATTTGTAGAAAACTATTTCAAGTGTTCTACAGTGATAAAAAGGTTAAGAAATGCTGGTCTAGGAATTCGCCATATTTTTTGAGAGTCTGGATTCTTATAATAATTCCTTCAATCTTTTCCTTCAATTAAATCTACGTAGGTTGAGGCATTCAAAACTTTCTAGAATCTGGTTATGATATTCTTTAGTTTTGCGCCAAGTTTTCATCACTTTTTCTAAGTTGTAGCTTTTGTTCCTTTTTTACAATTATGTTCATCTTGTACAAGTCCCAAGAGCCAGGCAAGATAGAAGGATACAAAGTAAGCAGCAACAACCCAAGCAAGGCGATAATGCCACCAAGATCCAAGTGTCCATCAGAAAGAGAAGGGAAAAGGCTTTAAAACTTCCATTTGCAAACTGCTACCCGCGGGCCACATGCGGGCCGTTTGGCCTTTCGTAATGGCATACTTAATTTCATAAGCAAAATAAGTTTTCTTAAAATTTTATTTTCTTTAATTCTCACTTATTCACCCACACACTCTTTCATACATAACCACATATATAAACAATGATTAAGTACAATTTTTCTTGAATTTTGTAAACTATTGCGGGAACTAACGTTGTCAGCATTTTAAACCATAGGCAATTTTTATTAAGGGAGACCATACGTGTAAACATCTTTTGCTTTTGAAACAGGTTTCCCTGTTGTTTTAAAGAACAACTTCATAATTTTTTTCTTTAAAGAACTGTTTTCATTTTCAAATGAATAAATTAAAAATAAACCCCATGCAGCGATATGTCATATGTGCTAATCATACTGTCATATTATTTTTTAATTATAAATAAAATATTTTTAAAAAAATAAAACTTTCCTACCATTTCTAAGGTATATGCTTACACAGCTGGTCTTCTGTAGTGAAAATATCTGAGGTGCCTACCACGAAAAATTACCTTGATTCTTTTTAGTAGTACAACCCCCACCCCCCTTGTGGGGTTAGCCATAGATCATGTGACCCACTGCTCGTAAAAGGTTGCCTACGGCTGCTTTAGAAAGAACCGTGTTTTCAAGAATGTGAGTGAACGCTCATCACTTTCACAATATCAACCCATCAGCTTCTTTAGCGTCATCAGCAAATTCCCCTTTTTACTAATGTTCACCTAATCCAAGGCTCAAGAGTCACTCAAGGTAGAGAGTTACAGTGTGGAGTTATATTAACGTAGGAAAGAACAAGAGTTAGGAGTATAGAGCTGAAGCAGAGTTTAGAAGGAAACGGAAATCCAATCCTAAACCGGAAATAAGGGATAGACCTCTACTCCTGTTCAAAAGAACGGGGAGCAGTGTGAACCGGACGATAGGCGAACCTATCTACTCCTATTGAAAAAAAAAAAGAAAAAAAGTAAATAAATAACATTTCGGAGTTACAGGTGGAGAGGTTAGATGTATAAAAATGACTTTAAACTTTGGAAAGAACCGTGTTGTAACCTATGAAGGGCTACTGAATGAGGAAGAACCAAAACAGAGGTTGGAAATGAAATGGTAATCTTTATAACATCAACAAAATACAATACTCGCCAGCGGCGTGAAGTAGGCAAACCACTGCTAATGGTGGAGTACTTAGACAGCATATTTCGTTCAGAGCATATTATGATATTTACCTGACTCTCCACGGGGTAAGCTGCGGCACAAGGCCAAATTTAATATGGGGAAAATCCGAGCCCGTGGGCTCGGAAAAAAATTGCCCGTGGACCTCGCATACGTGGGATCCGGTACCTGTCTACCTCCCCGGACGAAACTCTG